CTGGAGGTTAACCTCACTTTATTATTTATAGGCTTTATTATTTGTTGGACATTAGACTGCTATAAGCACTAGATATGCAATGTAGAATGGTTTAGATTATAATTACTCCACAAGTTGGCTGTCCTTTTTGATTTATTCTAGTTATTTATAATTAATTTTAATTATATCACAGTGTGTACTTCTGTTTATAATAAGAATTATATCAGCAACACAAATTATAATAGTTGAAAATATAATATTAATAAACTGAATAAGTAGCTACATAAATTCTTTTAAGCAAGACAATAAAATACATATTTAATAATCACTATTTACCGATAAGTATTATTGAAAATAGTTTACCTATTATATATTTATAGATTTGATTAATTGTAGTGCATTAGAGTGGGTTCTGACTTAAGCTTTATGCTAATAGACCAACCCAAATTATGTTGTTAGGTTTCATCCTGCTTTATCAGGACTTCTCTTAATCACCTCTGGTATTATCTTCTAACACGAACAGTTGTAATTTTTTAGCATTATAATTATAATTTCTTCCTTTTTCCATTTTTGTAAACTGGTATGAAAAACATCTTATTAACACTATTAATCTTATTTATTATTACAAGATAACTAATACAGTATTGATACATTCATACACATTAGTTATTAATTAGCTACATAATGGGAATTAATACAAGACATATTTGTAGCAATATTATATTAAAGAACCGTACCATTACACAAACATTCTTTCAGCTTTTCATAGGCTTTTTTTATTTCACAATTTTATAACCTAAAATCAACTATAAACAATTAGGGACTCATAGATCTAGAATACTTGAAGCATTTTTTTCTTATATTACATCAACAAAGCACTATTATTATGTGTAAATTTATTATTCACATGGATTGACATCTATAAATATACTATTTCTCAATAGAATATATATCTGATAATATTATATATATATGAATACGTTATCATATGCAGTTCTGTACACTTATGTCAAAATCAGAGAGACATAAATGAATTAAAAAACACGAGTAAGAAAAAAATAAATTGTGAATAATTTATTTTATGAATGAGTCTATTATTTTTCTATTAGATCCAGTTACTTACCTGTTAGCGACAATACAATGCTATTAACTAACATAAAAATTAGAGGATAACACCAGAAAAGGTAATCTTATCTTATCATCATGAATTTATTTGGAAAGCATGAACATATTTCGCGCAGGAGAATTATCTAATCATTCAATTAAGTTACTTAAATAAAGGAAGCATTTTATGGATGTGGGTATTTATTATTAACCGGTATTCTATAACGATAGTTAATATCATGATAATTCTATCTATTAAGTACTTATTGATAATATATTATTGGGATGTAATTAATATAGTAATTATTTACATTATATACTGATTCATTGACTTAGTTGAATCTACTTGAATGTCATATGTTGAAATATAATTAAGTGACGTGGTCTCTCTAGTCTTACATATAAAAATGGTTATATGGAAAGGTTCTGAGTAAAATAAATAGAAACAAAGATAAATTAAATATGTAATTCTTAATATATTTAGTTATTTATATGTGTTTGTACTTTGTATGTAAATATAACCTTTATACTCACATAAATTGGTCACAGTTAATCCATACTCCTCTTTCCTTTAGTAAATATAATGATATCTATATAAAAATGCCAACAGTTTAGAGATAAAAAAGTAAAAAATTATAAATTATTGAAAAATTTGGTCACTAATATAGTAATATGACGCAATCTTAAATTTTACCTTAAATTAAATAAAAGGGAATAAAAAAAAAAAAGAAAAAGAAGAATATGATATCCTATTTTATATAAAAATATTATATATTTATTAACAAGCATAGGAAACATAACAATTATTAATTAAAGTGAAAAAAATTGTTGTCTTAAAGCTTTGCGTGGACTTTCAGTCGTTCAATCGAGAGAGGATTGATTTGTGCTCTTTTTCCATCTTCAGCTGCGCTAACAATATTATCCAATAACGTCGGCTAGTGGACTTTGTCTGGTTGACAGTCTGAGAGTGATGTGTTTATGTCCCCATTATACATTCTACAGGAGTATCATGGCTCTTACCTTGACTTGCAATACTCCATATTGTGATACATATTTTTTTCTTTGCCTGCAACCTGGGGAGATCACCTTTGGTCATTAAGTGGCGCGGGGATAATGAAGTTTGAGATGAGAGGATTGGGAATGCTAGGCACCGCCATGCCAGTAGAGAGATTGTGTGCACGGCCTGGGAGGGGTGTGTAAGGCATAGTTATTGCTATTTATTACTATTGGAGCTCAGGGGACGCCTTATCTCTTATTATAGTATCTGGTGTATTTATATTATATATATAGTTAAATAAGAATTTAAAGAAATATATTTAATTTGGTAGAGTAAAAGGGAAAAAAGTATTAGAAATTGGATAAGTATCTCAGAGAATATGATATCCAATAGAATGTTAACTATAGGTATTTTAATTATTCTATTTCTCATCTTTTTTATAATCAATTAAATATATTTCACAACTTTTGATAAATCTTCTCAATGATGGAACAACTAATCAGAACAAATAATCAATGGCATGTATTATATATTGATTCTTCAAATCAAAGTGCTTGTTAAATAAATTTAGTATAAATAAATGGATAAGAAACAAATACACTTATTCTTATTTACATAGTTACATTTCATATGATATTCTCGTATGGCAAAAAGCTACATACATGCTGAAACTTCCAAAGTGCATTACTCTTTTATCAATCAATATATGTTTTTCTATACTTGTAGCAAATTTTATCTTTAAAATTCAAGCTGCACAATAAACTTTTATTGCAATAGAAATAGCAAATGAAATACACTTATCTTTTTATGTACCTTAATTATTAATTAAGAAATGATATAACTGAAATTCAAAAATAATAAACAAGAATTTCTTAGCTATCCTTGAACTTGATAACTTACAGCAACTTAATTCTCACTCTGTTTCAAATATTAGGGATTTCATGTAGATTACGTGTAATCAAAATTACTCTAACTCAATTACTTACAGTGATATTCAATAGTATTCAATACAAAGAACTACAATTAACTGTTTATTTTTTTAATTCTAACAATAATGAGGATAGGCCTAGTATTTCCTATATCATTGCATATTTCTATATTTTCATCTAGGGATCCATTTTATAAACAGTAACTATATTAGGATAATGATCTATATACTAACTATTATATTTGATTATTCTTAGCTATATCTCTACATCATATCTCTGCAAATTTATTAGAGGCCATTAAATCATAGCATTTACTAAATAATTTGGGGAAAGTTAACTAAAAATACATTCCATTCTATAATAACAAAAAGGATTTTTATATAATAAATAAATATAAGTTCTAATCATTGAATACTTATTTACACAAGTAAATAGATAAATAAGATATAGAATAATGATTGCATAACGAAGTATCAAAACCTTTTGATTTTGATTCTTCTCACTGACTCAATTGCAAAAATTACAATTCTAATAGACTAAATGTTTTTATTACTTTGTTTATATAATTTTGATAAATTTTTACAAAATTTATTTTTGTTTCTTATGAATAACTATTAAACTTATTATAATATCTCACTTCATAAAAAATAAATAAAAAAATAATGAGATTGCTATACTATATCAAAATATTGAGAAGTAAATATAAATCTATAAAATGCCTAATCAGATTAGTCATAAATGACTATTAAGTTAAGGCAAAGTAGACTTAGGTCATATGGCTTATATAACAGATTATAATAATTAAAGTAAATAAATGATAAACAAATTATAACAGGCAATACATATATTATAAATATATCAGATCAATTAAATTAATATTAACAATATAATAACTTAAACAAAAACATAAGAGAAAAATTAATATCAATTAATATATATATCAACAATATTCTACTATAATATATAACAAAAGACTTAAATCATATTAGACCCACACCACAATAAAAGAGAGAATACCCGAGTTATTACGAATTAAACTATACGGTTTCTTACTATCACTATTATTTACCCTCATTGTATCGACAATCTCTCCTTCAAGCCAACTAATTGGATGTGCAAGTGGACTTAACTATATAAAGGTGAGTTAATTCGTTACTGGGGAAATGAATGATATTGCATTTGTGGCAGAGGAAATCAGCAGTTGAAGGTTATAAAAATTTGGAAAGAAAGAAACAATAATATATATTATTATATTATAATTATACTTTATAGTATTATATATATAATATATTTTATATATTTTATATATACATACATATTCCCATATATTCATTTATTCATTTTCATTTATATTATAATTCATCATATACATATCCTATTCATACATCACATATTATATTATATTTATATATATTATAATATAATATATATTAATTTAAATTAATTAATAATAGAATATTATATAATATTATATATTTTATATTTTTTTTATTATATATTATTATTTTATATTTATATATTAATATATGATATATATATTATTTAATATAGTATTCATATTTCTTTTTTTTTCTTTTATATTTATCTTTTTTATATTTTTATATATAATATCTATATCTTAATATATTTATATATATATATATATTATTTTATATATATATTTATCTATTATTTTTCATATTATATATATATTTACTCTCATCTTATTATTTATATATATTTATTATTATTTGATGTGTGCATGTGTGTGATGTGATGTTGTGTGTTTGTGAATATTTTAACATTACTCTGTGCACACATATATGTATATATAGGCAGTATGTGCACAAGAGCAACAGTAAAAATAAATAAACTTATGACACAATGCTATTGCTTCAACAGCAGCATCACCAAAGCATATGACAATTTCTTTTCATACTGGTGGCGTACTAAGGCCTTAGATCATGCTCTAGACATGTTTAGGAGGAAGTACTGAAGGACGCCTTAAGTACCTACTCAAACACTCCTCTCCACACTCTCTCTCTCTCTTTTAACGATTGAGCACTTGCTGTGTGGGGCTCCAGCCGGTCCTGGGGAAGCTGCTGACGATGAAAGGAACATTGAATGGGGTGAAAATGAAGTTGCACGAATGAAAAGATGTTACATGAAGTGAAAAAAAAAATGAATGATAAGTAAGCTAAAACTTTAGAAATAATGCTGAATGGGGTTTAACGTAGTAGTGCTAGAAATGCTGAATGTTCGAAAAATCTAAAATGTACAGAAGGAATACTGAATGGGTTAACTATAATGGACATGTTGAAATAGTATGAAAAAATCAAATATATGCAATAAATGGATGAAATACAATGCTGAAAAAGGTGAATAGATGTTGTGTCACTTCTCAAAGCATGTAAAACAAAAGGCACAATTACTGTACAAATCACTCTTTTCATATTCTTATAAGAATAAAATAATTTACTTGAAAAACATAATTTTCCATTATCACTGCAGAGAATAACATTAAAGAGCAGTTGAAACTCGTTAATCTGAAAAGTTGGGAACTAGACAGGTGGCGCAACTGCAGATTTTCCGAACCAATAAGGCTTTGAGTAGAAAAAAAAGTAAAGTAATGCATGAACTGGTCTTTCAGGAAGCATATCTAAAATGTACTAATGTAAGCATAAAGCATTGTAAAAATAAAGGCAATTCTGACTGACGTTAACAATATTTGGAAGTGCCTTATCTCTTAGCAAAGTAAATCACAAAAAGTAAATTTCAAGATATGTCATAGAAATGCAACATCTTTGGGGAAAAAATCCTGCATGTTGATGTGGCCCTTAACAAACAAACAAGCTAAAATTATTACAATTTTGTTTTTTTATTCATATTCAAAAAAATTCAATTTTTATCACTAATACATGTAGAGAAGATGCTTTTGCATTTTCCTTAAAGGGAAATTAACATCTCTGCGGAATCTTCCCCACCTTTTCCTAGCAGCTAAAGAATTATGAGGTAGTCTAAAAGCTTAGTTATCAATGACCATAATATAAGTCAGCTGTGGGAGACATAAATAAAGGGGCAATGGTGGTTCCATGACTGGTCAAGCAACAGTCATGTAAATTTATGAATATTAGATTTAAATAGCTGTCCTGAATCAAAACCATAGAGCCAGTGAATGCCAAATCAGAGAGTCAAGCTGTATACATGTGGAACTTCTATCTCTTCAAATATATATATATATATATATGTAAAATGGAAGAATGTGTTTTTTACTTAACCCATTAACACCAGTATATTTTGAAGCCGAAAATAAAAGATTAACGGTGGCTACAAAATCGGTGGGCAGGGATGCCCCGGACTCTGCCCGCCCGCTGCTGTGTTGGAACGCAAGCCCCGATACAGCGTCACACTGGCGGGACGCCTGGCAATGTTTATTTTTTCGGGTATCTCATATGTGGGACACCCGACGTTAGTGGGTTAATAATTCAGGTAAAACCTTACATGGTGACTTTCTTTGGAGAGTCTTTGTCTCTACATCACAAATAAAGCCACACTCTCCCATCACCCACTGTTAAATGCTTATACAGACAGCTCTTTGTTGAATCAGCCAAAAATATTTTCTGAAACATTTTATCAACAATTAATAAAGCCAGAATAATTTCCCAACAAAAGGTATGAGTCCAAGTAGATATCTAAATTCTTTTCTTGATCATTCCTCAAAAAAAAAAAAAAGTATTTCTAAAACCTCACACTACATGTATGTACACATCAATAAACTTATAAGAAGTGTGTATAACAGTTTATAACAAATAGTTAGCATTAATCTATGCCCAAATGCTTTACAAATTTCATGTCAAAACCTCATACTTAAATATCTTTCCCAAAATACTGTTATTTACCTATATGCTTTTCTATTTTACCCAAATATCTATCTTAGTTCCTTTAGTTTCTAGTCAAATATCTGCCTCATTCACATCATAATATATCAGATTTACACTACAGATTTACCCAAAATATTTTTTTTATTTTCCTAACCCACTATACCCTCTATCCGAAAAACAAGTAATTAAAAAAATCAAAACTGTAACTATTTATCACTTGTATGTGCTGCACGCTGTTACTAAAACCTTATTAAAATCCTTCTAAAAAAAAAAAAAAAAAAAAAAAACATACATAATTCATATAGATATTTATAGTGATACTGACATCTTTCTTTGAATCAAGTTTTCCAATAGAAAGATAAAATATGATATATATATATATAACTCTTCTTTCCAGATGAAACACATATATATTAATAACAATAATAAAAACAAATTTGATAAAAAAAAAAAAAATCACTTTTTCGTCAAGAAGGTTCAAAGAGGGAAACTGCAAAATCCTCATTTATAGGGGAAAAAACATCACAAAAGAGAGAGAAATTACATAAAGATAAATAAATAGAAAGAAAATACAAAGAACAAGCCTAAAAAATGAAAACCACAATAGAAAGAAAACACTAAATGAAAAAAAGATGAGCAAAAACCAAAAACAGCATAAATAACAATGCAAGTAAGGAGACCAAAATAAAAGGAGGTAAACAAGCGACCAAAACACACCTGTTGTTTTAGCTTGGGCTTCGGGGGGACGAGGATGAACGTGACTTCCCTAATGATGACCTGCGCAAATTTCAGTACAGCCGCATGGAGAGCGTACTGCATGCACATCGCACCGAAACCCTGCAATGGCAAAGAGAGGTGAGTTAGGTCTGCTAAGGTTAGGTCAAGTCTGATAATGTCCTGTCAGGTCAGTCAGGCAAAATAGGCAACATTAACAATTATGACTATCAGAAATGTTCAATAAATAACATGAAAAAAGAAATTCAGTGTCTGCAGTAAAACAAAGACTGACATTTTCATTAGTATGAACTTTTGGATACTCGTGTTTATAAAAAATTACAAATATCATTATGGCAAGTAATGATTCATATGATAAACAACAAAAACATAGATAAACACCTGTAGAATGAAGTAAACACACAAAAACACTCAAACACAGAAACACACACACACACTCTTCAATCTCAATCTCCCCAAACTGACTCCCTATGCATCCTAACTGTCATATTCATTCTTATTAACACTTAAGAACACACATGCAAACACTCCTACCTTAAAAAGGCCAAAGAACCCTTCCTCGTGAATAGTGGTATGGAGGCAATCAAAAAAGCCTTCGTATCGTGTCAGGATCGGCTTCACTTCGTAGCCTACATCAAGACTGTCGATGATTGTGCGTGTGCCTTGCATATGCAGCCTGATGAGACAGTGAAAAATATAATATAATAATATAATAATTAGGTATCATAAGATACTGCAATCATCTTGTGCAAAAAATGGGTGCTTCAATCTGCCTTGACTATTCCATGATACTTGAACTGGTCTCCCCTTTCAGTCTGATCTCCTTCCACACTGATACTTTACACTTCATCTTCATTTGCATCCTTCACAGATTGTTAAGCTTCCTTAAATTACCTCTCAACTTTCATTGTATAATCTGGATACCACACTGTTATGGATGCTCATCTATTCAACTTTTCATCTTGCAATTCCTGTTCTGCATAGCCTTTTGGATTTGTGTGACTGCCTTTCCACTGCATAACTGTTTATATATACATATATATAAATATATATATATATATATATATATATATATATATATATATATATATATATATATATATATATATGCAGAAATTCATACTCACCTATGCAAAATAGTCTCCAAGGGATAGAGAATAACGTCCGAGGCAAGGTGGCCAATAAAGGCTGACTGCAGACGTACTGAGGCATCCAGGAAGGAACCTGAGTCTTTGCTTACGGCACCCTGCAAAGGGATTGCACTTTTATAAGTCAACAGGCATGGTTATTGTAGTGTGAGAGGCAAGTACTGGTAAATATACAGGAAAAAAATATAAATAGAGTGTTTGCTTTTGTTAATTAACCTATCTATGTAATTATTGTATGCAAGAGAAGATTACACAAACATTCAGGTTAATTAGTCTGTATGAACAAATGGATCTTATTACCAAGAAAATTAATTTATATATCATGAATGATAATAGCAATTTATAACAATTTTAATACTGTAGCATCCCTTTTATATAACTACAGTATCAATAAGAAAAGGAATTATACTTATCTATTATTAATTCTTCTTCTTATCCCTCCCTCCTTCCTCCCTCCCCTCCCTCCCTCTCATTCTCCCTCTCCCTCTCCTTCTACCTTTCACTCTCTCTCTCTCTAATGAATCAGAAAGAAGAGCATAATAACCTGCTTTTGCTGGTCCTGCTTCTGGTAGCGTCTCAAAGCATGGGATGTTATGGTAGAGACTGCGTTGCCAATTAAATACTGTAGAATTCCATGCGTGACTGTGGGGAGGATGAGCAGCCATACAGGGAGCATGCGTCCTGAGAAAGAGAAAAGGTATGGAGGTATGTGTCGAAGAGAATAAGGATGAGATCAAAGAATGAAGAATAACGCTGACCACAATGAATGAAGAATATAGATGACAAATGAGAATGTTGTGCAGCTTTCAAATCTGAATGAGAGAGATGGTAAGATAAGTAGTTAAAATAAGGAAAATATGGTACAATATACGTCATGCCAAAGAAACTACACAAAGCTACTGTGATAGAAGACTAACTGGTCATCCTCTTGCCCACCTGTCTGAGGCTGTGTGAAAGACAGTAGTCGTGTGAGGCCTTCCTTGAAAACATCCAGCACACCTGGTTTTTCACTCGCAATCTCACTCTGCACGGTTTCCACTAGGCTCGCACTGTAGAAGGGAGTTATGAGGGCTAAGGCAGAGCACTTCAGGAGCAGGTGTTGGCCAATGGTTTTGGGAGAGCTGTGAGGGGAAATTTCTCTGCAACAAAGATTTTTTTAAGAGATGTTAATGGATGGCAATCTTGGTATACCTTAAAGAATGTTAGTCCAGTTCTCTCAAAAGCCTAAATACTAGAGATGGTTATGAATTATTTCCTATTTGCATTAATATTTTCCTTAATAATCTTTAAATCTTATTTACATTTTTTTTCAGCCCTGGTGCTCTGAGGCGCAATATGTATTTGACATATAACAATAAAACATGTGAATCACCAAAGACCATATTTGTCTTTGTGAAACATGAAATATGATGCCTCGGGTATCAGTTTTGGATAATTGGATGACTGATGAATTGTGGGGGGTAAATTGATTTTCTTTTTTTTGCAAAAATATCCATAGAAATATTAACAATTTGTTGAGAGTATGATAAAAGAATAAAAATATTAATATCACACAAAATACCAACAGTATCAGGATATCATATTATATATATATATAATATATATATATATATATATATATATATATATATATATATATATATATATATATATATATATAATATATATATATATATATATATATATATATATATATATATATATATATATATTTTCTTTGTTTGTTTGTTTCTTTCTTTTTCTTACTGTTTCTGTATTTCATGTCATCTTCGTAATTATACTACTGTGTTTTTACTTTTGTTTACCACCCTATGCATTTGTTTATTACCATATACTACCATATTACTTTGGGACTACTTGGGCCACGGGGTGAACTTGGAGAGGCAATCCTCCAGGGCCAGGGTGACTCCCCGCACAGTCAGCACGGAGCCAAGGCCCTTCCAGAATGCCGAGACCCCTTGGCAACCCTGCATGTGGATTAAGGCCGGCACCAAGGTGATGGGCAGGAGGTGGTAACGCTGACTGCTCACATTCACCTGGAATGGGGGGGTGTTGAGAGAATTTTAGAAGAAGAAAATGAAGAAAAGAAATAATGAAGCCAAAAGAAGGAGTAGAGGAAGTCGTGGGAATGGATGAAGAAGAAGAAAAAAGCAGAACAAGAGGAATAACAACAAAGAAGGAGAAGAAGAAGAAAAAAAAACAATAATAACAGGAAAAAAAAAAAAGAAAGAAAGAAAAAAAACTCACATTACCAAAATGACAAACACAGCACCTTGTGTCTCTTCCCCCCCTAAAAAATATATATACATATTTTACCTGGCACTGCCTCCGAACCACAATGAAGGGATGACTGAGTAGATTTTCCGCACACAAGCTGACGAGATTTATAGAGAGCTCGCCATACTTTTCCATCTGAATATCTGAATAGAGAGAAAAAAGGAACAAGAATGAAAAACATAAAATAATGAAGTTGATGGAGGAGAAAGTTGATTAATAAAAATTAAAATAATAACTAAAAATATTAATGCTCAATATAACAAAATCACAATACAGATTGGTCAGACATTTTCATATAATCTTCATATACCATATACCTATACCAATTAAGAAATGCATAACTCCATTATAAAAGTAATCCTACAGTAGTGCATGAGTGGGTCATCATAAAAACTTTATATTTCTAAATAGTACATTCATTCAAGAGGGCATAATGAAGCTTCAAATCCCCTCTGAATACATTCAAGAGGGCATAATGAAGTGCTGAATCCCTTCCTACATCATGTAAAAGTCATTCATGAAAAAATTTCCCTTGACAAGACTGGAATGTCTGCTGGATCTCCCTTCAGTAACTGAAGCCCTGCCCTTAACTGGCATCTGAACTTCCAAAAGAGACAGAAGTTAAAGGTGGCTTTTTCTGAAGAGTATGGAGGACGGGGGACTGATACGATGCCATGCTTCACTAGTAGCGTTTTTTGGGGGGCAGAGTAGAGTTTCATTAGGTTCTGCAGACCTCCTAGTATATTGGGGATCATAGTTAAATATGAAATGTGTGAGTGAGAACAAAACATTTCCATTGAAAAGTTCTAAAATACCAAGATACGTTCCATAAAAAGACAAGAAAAAATTCAAATAAACGAGTAGATTTGGAAAAAAAAGGGGAGAAAAAGTTCATACAAGAAGCTATTCCTTCAACAACACTTTCATTAGAATGACTACACATTACATAACACCACAGCAATAATTACACAATACAATGTTCCAGCTCAAAACTCCACGAGTCTAAGTCCCAACACAAAAGGAGCCTTATCCCTTACCGTTCCCTTTGGATGAATCCACAGCATCATAGGGCTTGGTACCTGAGGCAGAGGGGGGGTGGGGAGCATGAGCCGGGTTGAGCAGATTCTGGGGGAATTCCGTTGGCCGCTTGTACGTCTCACTGGGCATCATCATTGCTTCGTGGTGGGGCCGGTCGACACCCCCTCCTGCGTATGTTTTCTGCCAGAAGGGGGTGTCGCGCTCACGTAAATTTGAGAAGAACTGGTAGTCGTCCAACCCGGCCATAGCAGTGTAGAGGGGGGAAGGGGTCTGCACTGTGGGAGAGGGTAGGGAAGGGGGAAGAGGGAAATATGGCTCAAGGGCGGGATATGCCGGAATCCTTCGCTAGAACTCTTCAGTTGATCTGTGTGCCATCTTCTAGCAAATCTGTTGGAGAGAGACCTAGGTTATTCTTCTTTTAACAAAAAAGATTCTCTGGCTATTTTGTCATAAAAATTACTAACTAATTATAAAGACTAGTCTGTAAATAATAAAGGAGGTTCTAATCAATCATTTTCTAATAAACTGTTGGAGAAGTAATATAACAAATTCTTCCTAGTTGGGAAAGTAATAATTGCCGTTCTCTGATGCATCCGTGCAAAACCATCTGTTTTACTTAAGGGGCATATCTCCAAACATTCGTGCAGACCTTTTTCATATCTTTTCATATCTGAATATCAATGCAACCAAAGTCTGTCAATTAAAAAATTAAGAAAGAAAAATAGGCAAAGCAGACTATTAAAAAATCTGTACATATGATTCTTCATTTTCCTCATCTGATTCTAAAAAGGCAAAAATTGTCTCTGTTATCAATAGCAGCTGTATAAAATTATGAAAAAAAGAAGTTTCTAATGTTCTGAGAAAATTGTATCTATTTTTTTTGTGTGTGTGGAATTGCATACATCTCTACTTCAATTTACAGTCTTGAATTCTATCTGTCTATTCATACCATCACAGTTTCATGATATACAGCGTATTTCTTCACACATCTATAACTATTAATAGGGATAAAATGATGTAGATTTACCCCTTTGCTCTTTTCTCATTATTTTGCCGTGTGTTCTCACCCTTGCTTCGGATCTGGGACTAGCCTGAACCTAAGCTTTTCTGCCTTAACTCTGGGTGGGATTATATACATACAAACATACTGTAAGAGTAAAGAAGAAGATGATGAAGGAGAGAATGAGATGATGATGATAATAACAATAACAATAATAATAAAAGAAACAAAAATACAAATCTCTCACGCCCTGAGCATTTTCCTGACGGGTGAAGGAGAGAGTTTCACAATTGTGGGAAGAAAAAAAAAAAAAAAAAAGGAAATAAAAGTCATATAATAATGTAATCATTATGCATTATTACTCTACCATTAGCATTCACAATGAAAATATGTGATTAACAGGTTGTCATCTGGTTGCCCTATTTTGGCTACCCTTTTAAAAAAATCTACGATGTTCCCCCGGTATGTTCGCTATTCAAACAGGCATTGTGTCAATATATATTTGTTTAGCTAAAGCCATTATTTTCTATATACTTCCCTATATTATAGAAAATATCAGCAATGTTAGAGAAAATATCAGTAATTAATTTTTTTCATCTTTAATTTTAAGTGACACGCATATTTTGTAAAATGTATATAAGCGGGTTACACCTCTGTTACACTGTTTTATTTTTCTATATGGGCTGTAATATGGACATGTATTATCTAATATATATGAGTAAGCTTATGCAAAGAAGTTATCCTGCACACTGACACTTTTTTTTTCTTAATGCGAAATCTATTGACTAGAGCCATAATAAATATAATTTTTAATGTATATCTTGAAGAATTAATTTGACTGTCTCCTCTGATAATAATCAAGGTTTTGTCTTTTGAACATTTATTCACTAACAGGAATGAATATTAACATTACTCTTCAGAAAGTATAAAAAACAGACTATTTTTTTTTTCATGTAAGTAAACCTACGTATGTTGCAAAGTGAGATAAATCACAACACATTATAAATGATGATAAAAAAGGTGTGTGAAATGTATCAAAAGCAATACATTAGCCGCAACAGCAACTCTTGCATTCAGATCCGTTCATAGATTATTCATATGCTTAACCTATAGATCTATGACTCCCCAATAACAACTAAAAAATAGCAGTGATGTACAGCCTTCACTGTAGATTCCTCAAGAGTTTTGCATCATGAATCCCACGCACGCACAGCTTGTCTTATAGTGCATCTGATTTCTGGAAAGAACAAACTGGCAGCTCACCCTCGACTCTAGACTATCATTCCCATTCGTCAAGTCTCTGTCTTATTCTAATCAACTTTATGCTTATGTTTACAAGTTAAGTATTGGATATTGGATGGCGATTGTTAAAATATTGAGATTTTGGGCTCTGAGACACTTGCGTATCCAATAACTTCGTCATTTTTGAGTTACGAAGGAAGTATATAGAAGATAAGTTTCTTATAATCACTCACTCTATCGTTTCCATATACTATTTTTCATCTAAAAGAAGGCTGGCAGAAAATTGACCTGTACTAAATGACCTGTAATTACCATATATAACAAAAGAAAAGAGGATGCTAACATATAAATCAAATACAGAAATGAGATTCACACTGAAAAATAATAAAACCGATGACATTCAAACGAAAAGTTGATATAAAAAAGCAAGGGTGTGTGAAGATATATAGAAATAATATTATCATCTTAATTACTGTTAGCAATTGCCAAAAACCTGCAGAGTACAAATAATTCAAAACAGAAACATACTGTTAAATTCTAAAGTAAATACATTAACATAGGATTTACACAAGCTTACAATAAATTTGAATTGATCTATGAAGTCAACGCTGAAGGTTTACATCCAACTTTATATGTTTAAGTTGCTTCAGAATGAAGTGAAAGGTAAACAACAAATATGGCAAACATTTACAATAAACATGAGAAAAAGCAACTTGAGCATGTGCCATTCATGTCAACAAAATCCCTATATATATATAAAAGCTAAAATAGAGAGTACGGAAAAAGAACCTGTACTGACACATGAAGACAAACTTTCCTATATGACTTAGGACTCCCTATTTAACAACCTCTCTCACTCTTGCAACAGAACTGAACTGCTCCTGTTTCTCTAGGAATTTACTTTCAATTATTAACTAATATATTCAATTACATAACAAGGGCAAAATTAAACAAACAATTGAAATACTCTTACGAAGATTTCACTCACCATTTAACATTACTTTAATTTCCACCAAAAATGCCTTGAGGAGAACGAAAATAGGAGACAGAAACGCAGAGGAGAAGAAGAGAGAAACAGCTAGCAAGAATGTAAGGAGAAGAAGGAAAATGCGACGTTAAAAATGACGTTAATAATAATAATAACAACACGGTACAGTCAGCCGTCCACTGCAGACGACAGGATCAGCTGATTTTGTATTTTGATTTCCCGTAAGTCGTATTTTGGTCTCTTTCTCAGTCTGAAAATAATTATTTGTTTTTATATTCCAAGTCTTAGTTCTTTTCGGTAATTTATCATAAGTGAAAGTAGATTTTTAAGGTATTTATTAGTATTTTTCTGAATCTCTCGCTGCATGCATTCGAATGAAGTCGTGAACTATGCGAACGAAGAAGACTTTTAGGAATTAGACTCTTACAAATTTTAATGGGTGGATTTTTAGAAAGGATTTCATAGTTTTTGGTAGTAAAGCACATGATTGTTTCATGGAAGAATTTGTTTTTATATTTTCTCTCTTCATTTCTTTCATCTATGTTTTCCTCATTCGTTTTTTACTTACTTATGTATGCAAAGAAATTATCTTTTGCTTTCATCTTTACTTTTTTCTTTTTCCTTTTTCATCTCTCTCACTCATATAAAAGCAGTCTTCTCTCTCCACTCTCTCTTCTCTCCCTCACGTTGAACAATTCAAATTATCATCTGCGTTCATATCACACATAATTTCTCTCTCATGCATCACTCAACTCACTCTCTGCCTCTCTCTCTCTCTCTCTCTCTCTCTCTCTCTCTCTCTCTCTCTCTCTCTCTCTCTCTCTCTCTTCTCTCTCTCTCTCATCTCTCTCTCTCTCTCTCTCTCTCTCTCTCGCTTCTCCTTCATTCAATCCTGCGGCCGCTTCAGTGGGGCCTTCGGCTCAATTTGACAGTCTCTTAGAGCGTCGCAATTTTTTGAGAAGATCTCTATGGGGGCTGGTTAATTTATTCTTCTCTCTCTCTTTCACCCCTCTCTCTCTCTTTCTCACCGTCACTTTCTCCTCTCACCTCCCCCCTCTACTCTCTCACCCTCCTTCTCTCTCACCCCTTCTCTTCTCTCTCTCCCTTTGTCGTACACTCTGGTATAAGGAGAGAGGTGAGAGAGAGAGAGTGAGAGGAGAGAGGAGAGAGAGAGAACGAGAGAGAGAGAGAGAGACTGAGAGAGAGAGAGAGAGAGA